GGGGTGGCAGGTGGGGCGAGTCCATTTCATCTGAAGGGGTGACAGGCGGGGCGAGTTCAATTCATCTGAGGGGTGACAGGTGGGACAATTCCATTCTTTTTGAGGGGTGACAGGTGCGGCGAGTTCATCCGATTTGAGGAGCGCATGCACGTAAAATCACCACAAAATTACATTATAATGTCCGTGCAATTAGCTTTTTAAATATATTTTTTAAAATAGCAAAGTTTTAAGGGGATATAAACTCGTATCATGCAGAAATAATCATTAAATTATTGGTCTCAAAATTTGCTTTTCCACAATTTCATATAAATATAACCTTTTTGTCTGCACATTTGGGACAGTGTGGAAATAAATCTACGTCACAAAATTAAATAAAGGGATCAATATATTTCAAACATATATTTTAATAAGACCTTATTCAAATAGATCGGAATATGCAGACCTTTTTTTTTTTTTTGGAAGAAGCAAGTTTCAACTGTTGCCATTTCAAGTGTGTCTCTCAACTTTCTCATTTTTTCCATTTAAATTTTAAATTGAAGTATTTATATGATAAGATGATCGTGAAATTTAAATCAATTTTCTGCAACTATAACCAGAATCCTTCAAAAATGGTCCCATATTAAAATTGAGAGAATGATATCCGGGAGGACGTACTTATATATTCCAAGAGATATAAAAAACTATCTAACTACAGAATAAAATACAGAATAGCTTTTCAAAAAGCAAATTCGTAAATTCACACATATTGTATTTATAAATGTGGGCTGTTGGAAAATCTTGAACGTGTAATACTTGGAATATTTACAAACTTTTTTAAAAACCTTTTGTTTTTAGATATCTTCTGTTACTGCAGAAATCAACAATCCCAAACACAATATTTACAGATCAGTTTTAGCGGATTAAATTCGAAAGTACTCAAACAGTTATCATACCTTTATTATTACCACTATTTTTATCGACATTATTTCATATCAAAGTTAAAGAAACAAGCAATGACAAACTTATCTATCCAGCTTTTATTAAAATGCAATAGTTGCATGAATTTGCGTTTGGTTCCAGAAAGTGAATGAAAAACTTGGTTGCTAGCAGGCGGGTGTTGCGCAGCACTCAGTATCTCATCGGACTTCTGAAATGAGAAAGTAATGTAATGCAATATTTGACTAAACGGGCAGACTCGGAAAATACAACTAATGCATTTTACATCAAAGAAAATTGGGTGCTTGAAATGATGTGGGTGTTCACTGACTCGTCCGATGTTCAGGCTCAGATAGCACCCCTCAAAAGACCAATCTTTATCGAGGTTACGCCAAAATTAAGATCTGAAGTTATTGATAAAGATATTTGAGATATCTTGCTTTAAAAAATAAATATTGAAAACAATTCTTTAATTCGTGGAGGTTATTACTAGAGACGATAATTTATTTTACCAACTATTCAATGTTGTAATATCTAAAATCGCTATGCAACACGCGTTTGTGCGCGATATTTTGACCATAAAATTGATGTACACAATGATAGGACACACTTGTCTTTGGACCAAAAGCTCGGAACTGTGACAAGTACGGTATTATCATCTAAATTAGTCCGTGATATTAGTGGTAATATTCCCATCTACTTTTATGTTAGCTAATATTCTGAGGGACATAAAAGAAACGACAGGCAAAACATAACAAAGAATCGCATCATAAATACTTGTGGTAATTTTCCTTGCATTTTTTCACGCTTTGTATATCTACTGACTAAGGTTACTAAGAAAAAATGATACTTACGGAACATGCAT